TGTACATTATATGTTATTAAAAAAAAAAATTTACATGATTTCATTGCCAATATCGGTATTAAATTCCTTCCTTATTCAATTTCACAAATAATATATTCAGAGTTAATATCCGAAAAGTAATTTGGCACAGCACGATATCTAAAGGGAAGCGGCAATTAACACATAAAATAATAATTAATACTGGATATTATAATCAAAATTCAATATATAAAGCCTACATCGCTATCTGAGCCCTTCTAATCATTATAAAATTTATTAAACTCTGAAATAATTTATTAAGGTACTCTAAATCGATTTGATCTCCGTTGCTACTAGAATTGGCCATTAGTGGGGACCTAATCAGATTCGTTATTGAATTTGCAACTTCAGTATTTGAATACTTTTTAGTATTCAAATGATTGAAGAATGTTGTTTAATTCGGAATTTTATTTCACGAGATCTAAAGTAACGATATGCAATACGAATACAGATCAAACTTACGTCTTCTCTACGGAAAAATTTTGTTTTCAGATATTCTAATGAGGTATAAGATTGCTCACATCTGGCAATGGCTAAAAGGATTGGACCGATCGTGGAATTTGTCTAATGTTTAGAAATTAAAGAAATAATAAATAAATACATATCACTTTGAATTTGTGAGCGCGTGCATATAAGGGTATAATAGTTCGAAAGTATTATATCAAGTTTTATAATAAACCAAATTTCTTAACATGAATAGTACCAAGATAAAATCCTGGAAATTTTATCTAATAAGATTTCCGGATTTTTTTTTTCCTTGGGGATATTCATATATGAAACTTTACATTCTTAATATTCTTAATAAAAAGGGATTTTCACATAACGAATTAAATAGAGCATATAAAATTTAAACAATTGATTACATATTTTTTTTTATTAATAAGAATGCAAACTTTTTATAAAAAATTGATGTGCGATGCAATACTTTCGACCGATATCGTATCTAAATTCAAAATTTCGTAAATGGACAGTTAGAGATTTTACTTTGGTAATTTTACCGGCAATCTTATTGGCTGCATTATAGTCAAAGCATCCAAGAGCTTGAAAATACTCCTTCATTGTTTAGAAAAAAAGTAAAGATACAAAAATACACGAGCATGGCATGGTTTTAAATGCTTATAAATCCCATCGACCAATAGTACGTAGGTAAATTCCGATCACAAAATGTTACTCTCCACATGATAAATTTCAATTGTGTAACGATAACTGAATGCAAAATATAAATTCATTTTCAAATGTGTGTATATGTTGATAAAGTCCTTACCTAGGACCTGGTCTTTGAGCCCGGTCTTTTAAAGGCCGAATTCAAATTTCAGGACCTAAGTCCTTAGGTCTTTAAAAAGTCCTAAAATACAAATTTATAATCAATAAAATTAATTATTATTTATATAAAATTTGAATAAATATTTAAAATTTCATAAAATTAAATTTATTTGTCAAGGAATCCGTAGCCTTATATATAAATCAAATATATATAATATCAATGGTTAGCATAGTTAGTAATATGAATCTAAATTTGATTAATTGAATCGATTTAAAACTTTCGAAGCAACTTGTCGCTAAATAATTATTTATTCAAATTAGTTGTGACACAAACAAATTTTTAACCAATTAAGTTTACAAAGTTGCTCCAACTAATCGATTAGAAAATTCTTGCCGATTTATTAAAAAGCATGATAATTCACGTAATATATGAAAGGAAAATCTGTCATCAGGCTTTCAATTATATTTTTTGAACTGAATAATCAATAATAAATCAAATAGATTAAGTCTGGTACAAGACACTGGTAAAAAAAATTATATTTTAACTAAATAATAACCAGTAATATATAGTACAAATATTAACTTATTTCTATATATTTACTAGGTAATATATGCAGTTTAATATATTTTTAGTCAATATGTTTAAATACATATATTACCTAGTAAATATATAGCAAATAAGTTAATATATATTACTGGTTAATATTTAATTAAAATATAATTTTTTACCAGTGAAATATAATTAAAGCCCAATGACAGGTTTTCTCTTGGCGGCACTTATATGTTTTGTAAATTTTAATTACCTGATTAAATATATAATGGACTTAAGTCCCAGAACTAGGTCTTGAACTAGACTTAAGTTAACTTAGGTCCTAGGACTGGTTTGTAAAAACTTGGTCCGCAAGTTCATGCAGTAAAACCTACAGGTTATAGGACCGGGATGGGACTTTATCACCCCTAGTTTAAGGTGTCCTGTGCAGATTATCAATTAGATTACAGGATCTTGTGTAACAATAACGAAGCAAAAATTTTACTATGTAAACTATCATGGGCTCTTTAATTCAGTAATTAAAAGTTTTTTAGCATGTAATTTTACATATATACATTAACCTGCTGCATATATAGTAATCTATTAAATTAAACAAATTTTTATTTTAATTGATATTAGCATCTCACGCGAGGGTACATTTATATTGTTAACCTATATTTATTAACACAGCATAATCGACACATAGTGATTCGAATCGTTTAGTTGAAAGTCAACTAGTTGACAACTTTCCAACTAATCGATTTAGAAAAATTTAAACCAACTAATTCCGTCTAGTCGCCAATCCGTGTTGATTTCTTTAGTTTGATTGGCTAATCGGCAAATTTAGTCAAAATCGATTACAGTAAGACCTCCCTAAGTGCACCCCCCTCGGGACCATAGTCAAAAAAAAAGCAAAACGTGCACTTAAAGAGAGAGTGCATTTATAGAGAGCAAAACACATAATTCTCTTATAAGTTGGGGCCAAGTTATGCCATGCATTTAGAGAGAATTTACATAGTACGTGCACTTATAGAGCGTGCACTTAGAGAGGTCTTACTGTATATAGTTGCAACTATTTAGTTGGCAACTAATCGATTTGGCATTATCGACATGGACGTGACCAGCATTGACTTTATCGAAACAAAGTGGTGTTAGGGTATAACACATGGTGCTGGGTCTGATAGTACTCTAGACCAGTTTGTATTTAATTATAATAAAAATTGATTAATCAAATAGCGATAGGATCGATGTGCTAGTTTGCATCTTCTACATAGAAATTCCAAAATTGTAAACTCTGGTCTAATCCATCTAAAAATTTAAAAATCGAATAAGGAAGGAATTTAATACCGATATTGGCAATGAAATCATGTAAATTTTTTTTTTTAATAACATATAATGTACA